GGGTTTGGCAGCCAGCTCCCAGTAATCTGGCAGCCATCTCCTAATAAGGATTCAACAGCCTTCTCCTCGAGCCAGCTGAGTCTCGCAAACACATTTATATCATGTTTAACTCATCTCTCTCACAACTAAAAGGATCATAACATTTGTTTCTTTAAAGTGTCACACTCTTGAGGTCAAGACTTCCGCAGTATGTTTCAATATCTCCCAAAAGATATTGGAACTCATTCTGGTAGAGGAAAAAGGGTTGAAAAATGAAAGGATTTAAAAGACTATTCACCCCATCCTCTAGACTTTTACCTCACTTGGGACCCATCATGATCTTAAATTTAGCACTTGAATTTAACTTAAATGTTGAGCATAAAAATCTACTGCAAACTTTGCAAAAACAAAATCTCCAGTAGATGAAACTTCTTAATTTATTAATTTTTCTGTATATACAATATGGATGTCATTTAAAATATCATGAAAATTTTAAAACTTTGATATATATATTTTTTTTATAAAAAGTGAAGTACAAATATAAAAATTTAAACACATTAAACAAATTTGGGCTTTTTAGTTATTCTATGAAGAAATTCCACTTATGGTCCTTCGAGTTTTGCACCAATTCCATAATTAGTTCTCATCTTTCACTTTATCCATTTTTGGTACCTGACTATTGTTTTCTTGACCATATATAGTCATTTTTCGGTAGTAAAAATGCCCAGAGATGGACCGAAAATGGTCAAGAAAACAATAGTCAGGTACCAAAAATGGATAAAGTGAAAGATGAGGACTAAAAATGGAAATGACACAAAACTCGGAGGACCTAAAGTGGAATTAATTCATTATTCTAGGCTCACACTTCTGAATTCTCATGCGGCTCAAGCCGCTCAACCCTCTTTGGTTGAATAAGCGAGCAAAGGGTGGAGCTAGGTGTACACAAATTTTGTGTACACCAATCTTTTTTCAGCGAGCAAATTCCCACTAAAAAAGTTCCATCTATCCAGTTTCTCAGCCATAAAATACATGGCGTGGAGCTATATTTGATAGCGAAAATCTTAAATTTGGGTATTCACCGTCCCGGTTGCAAGCAGCCTAAGAATTACCTATAGAATTCTTAACTTCGAGTTTGCATAGATTATATAATATTATACTCCCTCCGGTTCACATTCTTCTTTACACTCACTATTCATTGGTCAACTTAAATCACTCTTAATCTTTTACTTTATATATCATTTTTTTATCGAATTTAAAATTTTCTTGATAAGACTTTGTAGCGGGTTTAATGTAGTTTCTGAATATGTAAATTTTATTTATTAAAAACAATCTGAGTGTAAACAAGGATCGAGTTGCTTTATCATCGGTCAAGCATTTTTTTCCAAGTGTAAAGAAGAATGTGAACCGGAGGGAATACTACGGGGAATCTCTTTTTAAAAACATTGATAAATACAATTCTAGATGTTAGTCCTTTAAGGGATCTCCAAAATTTTAGAATGTAATATTAGTCGTAGGTTGATTTTTCTAGATGTTATGTACTCCATATTGTTCAAGATTTTAAAAGGTACGCCCTCCGTATCATTATGATTGTCACACTTTCCTTTTTTGGGTATATCAAAACGATTGTCTCACTTCTATTTTTAACAAAGAAATCTACTCAAAAAGCAGCTACAGTACTGCTACACTACCAAAAAACTCCTACTATTTCTAAAAGTGTACAGTAAACCTATAAATTTTCTTAAACTATAACAAAAGCCTACTATGACTATCATAGTGATACGAAGGGAGTATATAAGTTTAAACTCTCTAATTTATGTACTTTAAAAATATAAAACTTATATTTCATTGAACTATCTAATTTATTTGTATTTCATTGTTAAATTTTATATTTTTTCTTGTTTTTGGAGGCCTCAATTCACCATTTGGAACCGAGACCTTCAAATTCATTAGACGGCCTGGTACAAGTTCCATCAATTTTGGAAGAATTCTCTGAAATACATGCTATCAAATCGTCCCGACTATAGTTTACACTACGTATCAAACTCTCAAGTCCAATCATTCCGTTTTTGGTTAGTACTAGACTACTATGAAAATTGAAAAGTATTCCAATAAATTCATTAATAGTCGCATGCCGGTAGTTATGTAACAAGACTCCCATGTCGGTAGATACATAGAACTTTAAAATTCTCTCCACATGGGAAGTATTGAATTCAATCTCAAAATAAGTCAATTTGACGGGACTCTCCAGGGATCTTAACTCGACAGGACCCCAAAGGATAATGTGAAAGTTCGGATCTGTTTCGATATTTTTCAGTTTTCTAGAGAACTGGGAAACTAGAAAAAGGAAAAGAAGAAACGCGTTTATCCAAAAAAATTGCTGGAGAAATGACGGGAAAATAGGAAAATGCGTCAAGTTAACAAGGAATTAGAGAAGTGCTTTTACAAAATCGCTTTTCAAAACAAAAAAATGAGTTATGTCTTTGTTTTCCTTAATGAATTAGGGAATTGACTTTGACCAGTTTTTCAAATTTGGGAAACGCGGATGCTGAGTGTCGCTGCAATGAATTTGCATACTTGCACCTCGTGGTGGATCCGGTCCCGCTCTGGTATCAGTTCCAGTCTGATTCGGCCAATGACCCGACGGTCCCTTTCTGGTCTGGTCAATGACCCGGCCATCCGGTCCGGTCATTGACCGCAGTCACTCTCCAGTTCGATCAACGACCGAGCAGTCCTGGTCCGGTCAATAACCCGGCGATCCGTGTCCGGTTCGGTCCACAACCCGATGGTCCCTGTCAGGTCCACAATCGGACGGCTCCTGTCCGGTTCGTTCCACGACCCGACGGTCCCTGTCCGATCCGGTCGATGAATCGACGATCCCTATTTGGTCCGATCCATGACCAGGTGGTACCTGTTAGGTTCGGTCGACGGTCGGGCAATCTTATCTGATCCGGTCTGATCAACGACTCGGTAGTCCCCGTCTGATCCGGTCAACAACCCGGCGTTCCACATCCTGTCTGATCAACGACTCGGCGGTCCCCATCCTGTTTGGCCAATGATCCGAGCATTTGTGTTCGCTCCGATCGACAATCGGCGGTCCCGGGCTAGTCCCGTCAACGACCCGACGGTCTCTGTCCGGGCCGGTCAATGACCCGATGGTTCAATTTCGGTTTTTTGAAATCATTTTTTAGAGTGAATAGTTTTAAAAGAGCCATTGAGTTATCAATTGATAGGGAAATGGAAAAATAATACGTTAACCTAACCGTTGAGATTGACCGGGATTGATCGATTTCGATCTCGACTTTCCTATATGTGGGATCTGGTACCCCACTTGGGCTGTACTAGGTTCGGATCCGGACTGGGACTGTACTTTTGGTATTCTGGTCGGTCACAGAACTTGATGAAACAATTTGATGAACATGTTTTCAGATTTGACAATGGAAAACTAAAAAATGAAAACCGAACATTGGAGATAGAAAATCTGTGAAAAATGAAAACAGAAAATTGGAGAACGGAAAACAGAAATAAAAAGCTAGAAAATATCTATATTAGTAAACAGACCCTTAATTTCTGATTAAAGATACTTTCATACACTAGTGTTTAATAAATCACTTGCATGCGATTTCTCCGAAAATTGTAGTGAGAGTTTAAGAACCCCACACAGACACACAGTCAATTAATTAAAAAATGACTTGTTATGTGCGATTAGGGCTGAGCATAGGTCCAAGACCGGACCGGACAGGAACCGGTTGGACCAGAACCGGAATTCTAGAAAAAAGTGGACCGAAGACCGGACCTATATAATTCCGGTCCAGGACCGGACCGGACCGGATTATTCCGGGTTTTCCGGTCCGGACCGGTATTGGGCCGGATTTTTTATTTTATTATTTTTATAATGTTTCATCTTTTGAAAAAATAGTTTTAACTTTCCAAAAATTTACTTATTAGCTCGTTATTTATTCTTTCTTTAAAAAAAAAATCTAATTTATTCTTGTATATGTATTATTTGCATTTTTATGTCTTTTTAATCAATATTATATACATTATAATATATGAAATAAATAGAAATAAACACATGAACTATGCCTAGTGAAAATATGAAATTTATGTGATTCAACTTTGACTCTATAAAATTTTATGAATGATCATATTAGTACGCGAAAATAAAGTTCTTGCTCCATTAATTTATTGAATGATTTGACTGAATGATTTAACAAAAAAGAATTCAATTAATCACACTATGTATTATGATTAAAACAAGTAAATATAAGTAAATATAATGTGCCACTATATTCCAACTCATAATATTTTTATTCTACAAAATTTTACTAGTGTAAATAGGTAAATAATACTACCTCCGGTTTTTTTTAATCTTCACAGTTTGACTTCACACAAAATAAGGAATGAAATTTGACTTTACTGTAGAGTACACTGTTGAGGCACTGTTTGACACTATAGAGACACTGTTTGACACTGTTGAGACACTGTTTGACATTATTTGGCACTGTTTGACACTGTTTTGATGTAGATTTCTTTGCCAAAAAAGGAAATAAGGAAGTGTGAAGTTTATTTTAGACCGTCCCAAAAAGGAAAGTGTGAAGTTTATTAAAAACCGGAGGGAGTACTAAGTACGGAGTATGTAACTTGAGTTAATGTCTTAGGTATGGTATCACTTAATGTACTTTTTAAGTAAATTAATTAATGTACTACGTACGGCACGTGTTTGTGTGTATACAAAATTAATACATATATAAATAAATATATATTTATCTATGATAATTAAATTCCCGTCTAACCGGTCCGGACCGGAATATTCCGGGTTTTGGACCGGACCGGAACCGGAATTGGTAAAACCCTTGGACCAAAGACCAGACCGGTATCTATCCGATCCGGGTCCGGTCTGGACCGACCGGTCCGGTTCGGTTTTCCGGTCCGGACCGGATTATGCTCAGCCCTATGTGCGATGGTGTACAAATGACGGTTGAAATCTAATGATTTTTTCGAGCTAACAAAAAACCAACTACCGCATGACTATATAATACAAGTAATATATTTATTTGGCAATCGAACTTCGAGTCTTCGATCATATTCCTTCACCACTTCCTGGTGTCCTGATCGAACTACTGACTGCAATTTGCATGTTTTGGTAGCTGCTATCTTGCAACCCTCCCATTCAACTTCCAAATAAATTATATATATTCCACTCACTTCTCACTCCCGAACAGGTATTCCCTCATTTTTGTTATTAGCAATTTGTTGATACTAATTTTGCTTATAGTTTTTTATAGAACGGGTACATGGTTTTACAATGAATAACAACTTAAAAACAATTTCTCAAATGGGAGTGTCGTTGTATACTACGTTACTTGTATTATTTCTTAAATAGGATTCATTGACTCCAATTATGATAACTTTTGTATTGTTTATTTCTTTTAATAGGAGTAAATAAATCATATTTTAGGATGTAAAAGTCATATTTAAGAATTTTCTCCTTGCTTAATTCTTGATCAATTTCTTTTAATAGGAAAAAACCCAATTCCAAGCCATGTTACAATGACTAATTCTAACTGGCTCTCATAATCTTCCAAAATCCAACCCATAAGCATGTGTTGGGGAGTTGGTTTTTGGGAGGAAGGTGAAGGCATGTGAGGGTTGATGAATCTCCTATTTGTGTTTGAGAGTTTAAAAATTGTGGAGAAATAGTTTTGGAAGGGTTTTGTCACTCTTCAAAACCTTCACCCCCCTCCTCCACACTCCAAACATACCTTTAAAGAGTTTGGGAGTTAGAGGGAAAGGGAGGGGAAGATTTTGAAGGTTAGTTGTGTGAAAGAATGGGAATATATATTTGGTAGATTCGTAAATATATATTAGGCTATTAAGTTGTCGGAGGGGAGGTGAGAAAATCTTTCTTCTTATATAAGAGTAGTAAATTTGGAAAAAAGAGTTTTAGGGAGAATTATAGTTGAAATCACTTCTGAAATATAGTGAATTTAAAAGTTGAATTAATATTCATTTTAAATGAGCTTAAATTATCATTTGGTTAGTTATCATTGAAAACCTTCATTTTGTAGGAACTTAAACATTGAGCTTTTGAGGGATTTTGAAGGGTCACAAAACCTTTCAAAAACATGCCTCCACATTTTTTTAACTCCCAAATAAAAATAAGAGGGTCAATAATTAACCCTCACATGTTTCCCCTCCCAAGAACCAACTCCCAAACACACCTTAAGAAAAATACTCCTTAATATGTCGACTTTAAACTGTTAGTGTACATGAAGAAAAATAATTTCTTCATCAGTCATATTAGTACAGGATTAACTCATTAATAGAATTAAACTTTAAATCCAACTATTTTAACAAATGGTGCGTAATTCTATTAAAATGTATGGACTATAGAGTACTACTTTGGAAAAGTAGATTTTACGAAATTTTAAAGCAATAGTGTGTAATAGTATGAAAGAGAAGATCAAAACTAGATAAAGTAATGATAGTTGAATATTTTATAAAGAGTAACTTACCAAAAATAAAAGTGTATGGAACTTTTTAATACAACTCAAAAAGGAAAGTGTAGAGAACTTTTAAATACGGAGGGAGTGTTTTTTATAGGTTCTTTTTAAACGAGAGTTGTAAAAAGAATCATTAACAGAAGTAAATGGGTTTGTATTCATTTATTAAAATGAATACTTCTAGAGTTCATCACTTCTATTGATTAAATATATGTTTTATATGAGTAACGCCGTACTTTTATATGAGTATAACTAGCGATCGCTCGTGCAAGGCGGAAGAACATTTGAATAATATTTATGTTTTTTTTTTTGTTTTTGCAAATAACTATTACATGTGAGATTGTTATGATTATTTATGATACATTATAAAATACTTGAGAGTACCACAAAATAATGTGTACAATAGTCATCACAAATATTAATTATCTCTGAATAATATGTATTATATAATTATAAGATTATAGTAATCGTTTTTTTAATTATAGTAATAGTTATTGCGTATTATATTCATTGGACAAGCCAAGAAAAATCAAAGATGATATAAGCATGATTGTTTGGTAAATTTATTATAATTAGTATATTTCTTATTATTTTATATGTACGATCGAGTCATTTTTCACTTTTATATTATGGTTTCAACTTATATAAAATAAGTATTATATACACACTACTGATGTAGTAAATTATTTTCGGAGAAAAATTAACTTCAATTCAATCATTATCCGTGTAAAGCATAGGTCAATGACTCAATGGCTAATTAATATGAACCAACGAAGACAAAACAACAAATGATAGTGCTATATTCCATCAAGAAATATGGGTGGAAGAGTCGAACTACCATCATTTACTGACACTTTTTCCGTGAGACTAATTTTAGTATCGCAATTCCCACCATTCGTTGACACTTTTTAAGCGTCACTCAAAAATTTTAGTGACACTAATTTAGTGTCACTATAGTCCATTTTTCTAGTAGTGATAAAGATAAATTTGACCATAAAAAATATGCACATTAATTTCATAAACGAGCGAGAATGTATAACTTTAGGAATTCCAACAATTTGTTTAATCGATACTAATGCATACAAGAGAATGACACAATATGAGGGTATTAACCCATATTCATAATTATAAAATTTCTAGATAAATAACACGGTACGTACTTGATGTTCTTCGTTTAGAAATAAGTTCTAAAAACACATACAGAAAATTGTAAAGGTCTAAAAATAAAGCAATTAAAACAGAAAAAACAATAGATAATAACAAGTAAAAAATAATAACAAATTAAAACACTAAAACACTGGTCAAAAGGAGCAATAAATACCAGTTAAATATAATAACGAATTAAATTGTATGGGAGCAATATTAGTTAACCAGTAACAAAAAAACAGAGTAATAAAAAAAGCAACAAATTAATATAGGATCAACACTAGGTAGTAGTTACTTGGTAAAAGAAAAACAAAAACTGATAATAAACTAGTAAACAAAAACCACATAATTAGGAACACTTGTGAGTTGTGAGACACAAAGTAAACCAAAAAATTCATTAATGTACTTGTAGTTTGGATCATTTTTAAATAGGAGTATGAGGTTCATTTTTTCACAAAACGGGGCATGTGCTTTTACTCTTAGAGTTTCCATCTAAACACCGTAAAAAAGAAGGCGACGTGGATGCATACAAAATTAAAGTGACACATCACTTTCTTTTTGATGGAGTTTAGACGGAAACCTAGAAGTGATATCACATGCCCCATTTCAGGAAAAAATCAATCTCATGCCTATATTTGAAAACGGTTTAGAGCCCGTTTGGTAGCATAAAAATCGGTTGATTTGGCTTATTCTGCTGAAATTTATGGTTCTGGCTGAAGTGGTTGTATTGGCTGATTCTGCTGATTTAAGAAAAAATTATTTTTAAAATATATTTTATCAATAAAATAAAGAAAAAATTATATGTAAAAATAGTTAAAATGATCATCTACAGTAACTTCAGCCAATACAACCAGAAAAGTAACTCCAACCTTACTTATTCTGCTTATTACACAATTCAGCGCGCAAAAGCAAAAATTACGTGTTTGGTGACAAAGTTGGCTGATAAGCCTGATAAGCCGAAAAACAGTATTGCCAAATGGCCCCTTAGTCCACAAGTACTTTTATTGTACTTTTCCAATTAATTAATACCTGTTAGATGACTAGTTTTAAAGTATATGTGATGACTGATGACAACAAGGATTGGATAAAAATCAGCAATACCTTTATGACAACAACACACTCATTTTGGAGATCAGTCTTGTTAACCATCAATTCCTTACAAGGCATTTCAATTTTAATATCAAGTCAAACGGCAACATAATAAAAAAAAGGTATGTAGAAGATGCAATTTAACTATTTAAGGAAAACAATAAATGCGACAAGCAATATACTTCCGTTTATTGTACTCCGTTGTACTTAGCTTGTCCATGTACCAGATACATTATGGCATAAGAGAAACTTTGAACCATTGGACGAAAACTATAAAATCACTCCGGAGAAAGGAAATTATAACTTTGACATAGTAAAATCCAACTATAGGCATTCTTAGTTGTTTTTAAAAATCTGTTATTACTTTATGATGTTTAAAAAATGAGGGAATGATAAGAGAAACAACAAGCTAGTAGAAGATGTAAATGATTGAGCAGACAATATGGAGAATTCTCTATAAGCTCCTTACAAACGGAGTCTGAATTGAAGTAGATCCTTAGTTAAATCGCTGCAGTTCATTATTTGTTTATTTCTTTACCCGTGTTTCTTACATCCTACTATGTGATATGTCATTGGTATAGGTTTCTAACTGGTCAAAGACGGTTAAATGGATCATAATCTCACAAAATTGCCAGCCTACTACTCCTTAAGGAGACTCGGATTGGAGAATGAGAGCGAGGGTGTGCTTTCACAACAACATCCTAACCATGCCCTTTCGATAGACTCTAATCGAGTCATCAATTACCTTAACAAGATACTACTGGAGGACGATATTGATGAGAATAATGATGAATTCCTGTTCTCTGATCCTACTGCGCTAAGAGCTGCAGAGCATTATTTTCATGAAGCCTTGGGTGAGAACCCCTCCTTTGACAGCAGTGTCGAAAGCCCAGAAGGCATCTCTGATGTTAATCTTTATAGCTCTGCTCCGGGAGAGTCTAAATCATATGGCACAAGTGACCTCTCCTTTTCATCAAGTCACACTAATCAGGATGTGTTGAATGACTCTTTTTATAACTATGGTAGTGCTAATTTGGTTCCAAATATACTTTTTGATGATCAAACTGTGCCCATTTTGCAATTCCAGAGAAGTGTGGAGGAATCGAGAAGATTTTTTCCTGCCATTAATCCGATGGTCATCCATTTCGATGATAAATACTCATTGCACCCGGTGACAAGCGAGGAATTGACCAGTGGTAGTGCTGTGAGTACAGAGAACGAGGATACTTCAGCCGGTTCTTGTAGGAGAAGGAAGCACGACCGTACAGTTGAAGAGAAAGAGGAGGAAAGGAGCAGGAAACAGAGTGCAGCTTGTAAAGAGGAAATTGAGTTATCAGAGGTGTTTGATAAGGTTTTGTTGTGTGCTGCTGATGATAAAGATGATTCTCCATCTAGAGCAGGAAAACAACAACCAAAAGGGAAAAACGGACACAAGAGCCGTTCAAATAAAAGAGGAGACATTTGTGGAATTGTTGATCTCGAGTCTCTTTTGATCAGCTGTGCAAAATCTGTTGCGGATGCTGATTACATGGCTGCAGAACAACAACTGAAGGAGATCAAGCAGTACTCTTCAGCTACCGGTGACGCAAACCAAAGGTTGGCACATGCATTTGCTGATGGTCTTGAAACACGGATGGCCGGAACTTGGCCGGAACTTTATCCTTCATTTCGTAATAAGACCGCAGTTTCCGAATTGCAAAAATCCCACATGTCATCAACTTTGCCATTTATGAGGATTGTAATCTTCTTTGCGAATAAAATGATTTACGAAGTAGCATCAAGAGGCGCATCACTGCACGTGATAGACTTTGGCATTCTTCATGGTATTCAATGGCCCACTCTTATTCGAGATCTTTCACGAAGACGTGGTGGCCCTCCAAAACTTCGAATAACCGGGATTGAACTTCCCCAATCTGGTTTCCGTCCGTCGCAAATGTTAGAAGAGACTGGTTGTCGTTTGGCTAAATATTGCGAGTGTTTCGGTGTACCATTCGAATACAACGGCATAACAGCAACAAATTGGGAGGCGATTAAGATCGGTGACTTGAAGCTCACAAAGGGTGAGGTGGTTGCGGTTAACTGTATTGATCGATTCAAACTCCTACTAGATGAGACAGTATGTGGTTCAGACAATCCGAGGGATGTTGTTTTAAAGTTAATCCGAGATATCAATCCTCACGTTTTTGCGCATTCTGTTCTTAGTGCATCGCACAGCTCTCCTTTCTTTGTCAATCGGTTTCGGGAGGCTCTTTACTTCTGCTCTGCCCTCTTTGATATGTTTGAAGCTATTTTCCCTCGCCATGATAGTCAAAGGTTGAATTTTGAACAAGCATTTTTGGGGCCTGTAATAACAAATATCATTGCATGTGAGGGCATGGAAAGGTTCGAGAGGCCTGAAACATACAAGCAGTGGCAATGTCGCACTCTGAGAGCTGGGTTCAAGCCTCAGCCTCCAAACCCTAAAGTTGTGAAGAAGTTGAGAGCTAAGGCGAGGGAAGCAGGTCACAAAGACTTTCTATTTGCTGAAGACGGCCATTGGGTTCTCCAAGGGTGGAAAGGTCGAATTCTTTCTGCCAGCTCTGTCTGGATACCTCACAACCCATGATTTAATATTGATTATGAGGTAAACCCATCATTGTTTCTTTTGATGGGATATGTCCTCAGAAAGTTGGGTGTAGTGTAATGACTTTTTTTTTATAGCAGTATCCTTCCTTGTTTTCCACAAATTAAAAAAAAACTATTTGTAGTGAAATAGTATTGCATTTTAAGTTTATTACTATTTGTAGTAGTAATTTATATATAAAAGGTTGTAATAATATCTATTTGGATTTTGGACCTGTAGAGTATTTTTATCATTGTTTATTTGCCAAAGTTGTATGAAAAAGATATGTATATATGTGTTTATGAGTGACAGAGTGAGTATATATATGAAAAATACTACGTATATGTTATGTGCAACTAAATTGACGAAACTAACTTTCAACTCTAAGTTATATGCATGTTTTTATTTACACTAGTTGAATAATTACTTCAATTTCAACTCTACCGATTTAAATTTTGTGACGAAATTTCTAAACACAAACTAGAAAATTGGAGGAGATTTTGGAAGACTTTTGTAATCCTCCAAAACTTTTCAAATGCTCAATTTTTAAGTTCTCTAATTTGAAAGTTTTTGAAGGATAACAAATTAAATGATAATTTTATCTCAATTTAAAATGAATACAAATTCAATTATTTGAATTCAATATATATCTAGCTTAAACAATTTTAATTATAATTAAAATCTATAACTCCCAAAAAAAAAGTTTTTTTTCCCACTTCCTCTCCCCTTCCCCTCATGGCTAACACCAAAATCTTCGCTTCCTCCTCTCCCAAACTTACCCCGAGAGAAATACTCCTTAATATGTCAACTTTAAACTATTAGTGTACATGAAGAAAAATAATTTCATCAGTCATATTAATACAAGATTAACTTATTAAAAGAATTAAACTTTAAGTCCAATCAAGAGCGTAGCTAGGGAGGGGTCAACCCATGCCCCGACCCAGCCCAAATTTTAAAAATGTCTATATTTTTAAGGTAAAAAATTTTGTGTAAATTTTTTCTCAAAAATATTCTTTCAACCGGTCCAATCCGGCCCAGTGTCTTGACTCCGCCGCTGAGTCCAATAATTTTAATTAAGGTGAAATGATACGTAGTTCTATTAAAATGTACGGAGTACTACTTTAATTTATACTCTCACAGTCTCACCTTGGAAAAGTAGATTTTACGAAATTTTAATGCAATGCTGAAAAAATTTACCCTAGCTAAATGAATTGCCAATAAGCTTTACAGGTGTTGTAAATATGATTTTATTATAGATTCTTTTTAAATGTCAGAGTTGTAAAACAATTCATTAACAGAAGAAATAATTACATAAATATCACCAAAATAAAGATGATTTACAAAAATATGATTAGTGACTAGAGTAGTAATGAAATTATAGTAATTCATGTTCAAGTTTTGAATTTAAGTTACCACAACACCACATTATAGTAATGAATAGTCATATTTATTTTATGTAAATATGTTTTATTAACTATAAAATTAACAGAAAGCAGAACATGTATTTGGATTCATTTATTAAAAGGAAATAAGGAATACTTCTTGAGTGCATCACTTCAATTGATTGAATAAATGTTTTATATGAGTAACACACAGAAAACTATAAAGGTCTAAAAATAAAGCCATTAAAACAGAAAAACAATAGATAAAACTAGTACAACCTGAAAAACAGTAAAACATAACAAACTAAATTAGGAGCAATATTAGTTAACCAGTAACAAAAAACAGAGTAATAAAAAAAAGCAGTAAACGAAAAAACAGTAAAACCTCCAAAGGAGCAATAAAAACAAGTAAAAAATAATAACATACTAAATTGGGAGCAATATTAGTTAACCAGTAACAAAAAATAGAGAAAAAAAAAAGCAACAAATTAATATAGGATCAACACTAGTTAATTAGTAAAAGAAAAATAAAAACTGGTAATAAACCTGTAAAAAAAACCACTTAGGAACACTTGTGAGACACAAAGTCAACCAAAAAAAACATTAACTAGCCATGATGACAGCACTAGTTAAATTAATTAATACATGTGAGATGACGACTTTTAAAGTATATTTGATGACTACAACAAGAATTGGATAAAAATCAGCAATACCTTTATAACAATACAATTACTTGGTCAATATCAGTGAGAATTGGATCAACGTTTCCGTTGATCTTCTCTAATCAAATTAAACACAACCCCAGTATAACAAGTATGAGAAATGATTTACTTACTTTGAAGGAAATCCTATCTTGTTCGTGATAAAATCATGATTCCCATTATGATGTCTAATTTAGTAATGGATTGATTAGTACGTATATCACATAGAATTGATTTGGTGTTATTTATAGTGCTATGAAGACATAAGAGAAGGGGCATGACTAAATAATGTGTCATTTAGTTTATTTATGAAAGAAGAGACACAAATGAACGGTCATGTATTCTTATTAATTTATTTCATTAATAGACATCTAACGGGAAATCAATTATCCCCTTATAATAATTACAATTACTCCCATCAAGTAATGTTTAGGTAAGACGGGGACACATTATATCATATTGGCGTAATTACTATTAAAATAGTAATAATTTAATAATTATTATAAATGGTCCTAAGGCCACATATAAAATGGAAAATATTCCAACATTCTCCCACTTGGCCGAGTGACCATTTATGATGAGTATTCATAAGTTTGACCAAAGTTAATACCCATCAATTTCATATTAAAGTCATAGCAAAAAGATACAGTCATTTTGTTATTATCAACAAAAGACCCCCACCAATTATACTAAAACTTTAACATAAAACACTTAGAAAATTTAATGTCAAAATGATGGAAATATACAATATTAAATTGTATATATTTGTCTATAGAGAAATAAGTGCATGCATACATTAGTATAGACAAAATACTTAAGACATTTGAGGAAGTTTACAATAATATGCTTTCATATAAGATCTCTAATAAAACCCGTCTTCGTTACAAGCTCTTGGAAGACTTTGGGTGGTAGACCTTTCGTTATTGGATCCGGAAGCATATCATGAGTGATAATCTAATCGACAAAAAGGATGATTTCCTCTACTTGTTCACCGTTCACGTATGAACAAGAACTTTGTGTCAAGATATAATCCGGCACCGCTCGAACTCTTATTGTTCAAAGAAGTAACGGTTGCAGAATTATCACATTATATCTTCAATGGTCTCGATATGGAGTTCACGACCATATGTCCACTAATTAGGATTCTTAATAACATTCAATGTCAAGATATCGTCTTTGCATTTTGCATGGCATACAATGGCCTACTCTTATTAGGGATCATTCAAAAAAGACCGAGCGGTCATCCGAAACATCGAATAATTGGGATTGAGCTTCCCCCAACCTGGTTTTGTCCATCTGAAATGGTAGTGGAGATCGACTGGTTCTCGCTTGACATAATATTGTGACCGTTTTAATGTACCATTTGAATACAATGCCATAACAACAAAGAATTGGGAGGCAATTATTATCAACCTCTCCATAATCATCTACTTTGGGTCAATGTGTTTACCCCAACTAGGGGTGTAAATGAGCCAAGCCGCTCGCGAGCTACTCTTGGATCGCTCGGGAAAAGCTCGACTCGAGTTCGGTCATATTAAGCTCGACTCGAGTTCGACTCGAGTCGAATAGTGAACAAGTTCAATTCAAGCCTTTTTATTTTAGGCTCGAGGCTCACGAGCCATTGTGTCATATTTTATATATAATAAATATATACGTAATAATTATTTATATATACTTTTTTTGAAAAATGTATTCTAATTTAGGACTATTCTATTTTCAATACTTATCGCAGAGTATATTATGAATCGATATCATGGATCAATTCATGTTAGCCGACCCCAACATCTTTTGGAATTCGGGCTTAGATGTTGTTGTTCTTGTTGTTATCACAGAGTATATTGTAATAGTAATAATTAGGAGTACAAAAATAATAACATGTTCGCATCATCATCATCATCATCATCATCATCATCATCATCATCATTATTATTATTATTATTATTAATAATATTATTATTATTATTATTGTTATTATTATTACTTTTATTATTATTATTATTATTATTATTATTATTAAAATTATAATCTGTAATAATTATAATATGTACTTTTAATATTTATTTACAGTAAAATAAAGAATAAAATGTTAATAAATGAGAGATAAACTAAAAATGACAATGAAGTACACGTATAAAAATGTTAATAATATTAATTAGCTCGAGTTCGAGCATCTTATCTAAACTTAAAATGAAGTACACGTATAATATTTTTAGTTCAAGTTTGAGCATCTTATTCGAGTTCAAACCTACAAAAATTAATTAGCGAAACTTGACTCGAGCTCGAACCAAGCTCGAATGGAGCTCGAGGCGAGCTCGCCTTGAGATCTAGCTCAAATTATTTAAGTCGTCCAAACTTGAGATCGAGCTCGAGCTCGTGAATTTATATCAAGCTCAAGCTCAACATACCCATGCTCGGGCTCCGCTCGGCTCGTTTGCTCCCCTAGCTCCGACCTACTAGGGGCGCCTGATTAACTTCTGCATGCCCCCGGGTACACCTTCCCAGCCCCAAGACCCCACATTTCGGCACTAGTTACTCGTTTTGTGTCCCATTCTGACACTCAAATGTGCTCATTCATTCCAGGAATAACACAGACATAAGTATTTCTACAGTAGTATTTAAAGTCTAGCCCCAGCAACCCATGAGCCATTGAACAAGATTGGCTGTCACGACCCATAAGTTTTGCCACTGCGACCCACAAAAATTGAGCTCCAAATTTATTTGTAATACATCAAAACGCGGCCATTTATAAGCCGCAAACCATTTGGAGTTTTTCCACTTAAAATCCTGTGTCCTCTACCCGTCATTAAACACCAACCTGCGAGTCTGCCACAAAGAAAAAAATCAGAGCAAACCTGCGTCGGAACGTCACTCCCATTACATATCCTCCACCCGCAACTCCTCTGCTAGGTACTGCAAAAAAATCATTTTATTCACTTAATTTGAAGCTAGGATTTGTGTTTGAATATGTAAATTGTTGGTAAACTGTGTAGAATTTGGGAGTAGAAATTTTTGTAAATTGTTGACATATATTTAGAATTTTGTATTTTGGTAAAGATGTGTAGGAGTTTAATTAGGTGTATAAATTGTTGGTAAATTCTTTTATTACATGGGTTTGTTGCTAAATGTTTGCTAATTGTATGTTAAATTTTTGTTAATTGTTTGACAAAACTGTGTTGAACTCCCACACCGGATACTTGTGAAGGAATTAAGTGTTATATTAAGATATGGATTACTCTTCCCATCAGGTTGACCTTTTAGGATACCCCATATCTTAACAAGGTATCAGAGCCTAATCGATCCATGGTGTGGACACTCCTTATGAAAAAATGACTGACACGATTATAAAAAAATGACATTAACCAACCGATGAAAAAAATGAATGACGGCACGATCCAGACGAAATGTCTGGTCGTGAGGAGGGGTGTTGAATTCACACACCGGATACTTGTGAAGGAATTAAGTGTTATACTAGTATTAAGATTTGGATTACTTCTCCTATCAGGTTGACCTTTTAGGATGGAACCACAGATCTTAACAAACTGTTAGGTTATATATTTCTGAGTTCAGTTGTTGCAATTTTTTTTGTTAAGTTTTGATACATTTAACTTCTACACACTGATGAAAACTTAGGTATTTAGTACTTGTAGTACATTGTGTACACATGGTTACTCATCCTTTTTTGTTATGTGTTATTGTTAGAATGTGAACTTTAATTTTCCAACTTTCCATTTGTATGTTATTGGGGAAGAAACAAAATTGAGCAAAAAGGCAGAGAAGAATATGGAGATTAAGGCCGAGTGGCGAGTAGGATCGAGTCCTCAGGATTAATTCGAGATTATTCGGTCCTGTATTAATTAAATTTAAGAATATAGATGCCCAAAATTATAGCAATGTATTAGTCTTATAAGTCTTTTGATACGAATTAAATATAATCCTAATGAAAAAGAAACCAGAAGGAAGATAGAGAGCCCGTTTGGTAGCACCAAAATCGGCTGTTTTGGCTGATTCTGCTGAAATTTATGATATTCTGGCTGGAGTGGCTGTTTTGGCTGATTCTGCTGATTTAAGAAAAAAATATTTTAAAAACATATTTTATTAATAAATTAAAGAAAAAATTATATGTAAAAATAGCTAAAATGGTCCTCTACAGTAACTTCAGCCAATACAGCCAGAAAAGTAACTCCAACCTTACTTTTTCGGCTTATTACACAATTCAGCGCGCGAAAGTAAAAGTTACGTGTTTGGTGAAAAAGCTGGTTGATAAGCCTGATAAGCCGAAAACAGAGTTCTCCAAACGGGCTCAGAGTCGTGAAGGAAAAAAACTTACTGGGACATGACGTAGAACTACTGCTAGAATGAGTCGACATTCGAGATACTTTTAAACCTAGACTATGGGAGCTTAATTTTCAAATTTTAAAATAACACCACTCATTAAAAACTTGCCGAATCTTTAAAGTACTCGCCGGGATAATTTTAAAGTACTCGCCGAGATAATTTTACAAGTCCCATAGTATCCTACTTTAATAAAAACTTTACTGATTTAACCCTAAAGAATATTAATGACTGGCCGAGTAACTCGCCGAATCAAATATTACTCGGAGAGTTACTCAGAAAAAAAGCAGGTGACAAGTCAGATTACTAAATGAAACGGCCAACTCCCGAGTGGTGAGTACTCGCCAAGTACTCAGCAAGTAGATAACACAAGTAGGAGGTAGTCGTTATTGTTGTTGCGTGTGAGACGTGTATGTCAGAAATGATGCATAAATTTTATGTCACCACATTCGTATCCCGGAACACATATTTGAAAGTGAAGTTTAAATATCCCTTTTAGGGGGATCATACTAAAATAGAAACTTGTTACTTCACAAACTAAAATGAATACACACAACTACATACTCCCTCCGTCCCGTAAAGATGTTCCCGGTTTTACCTGCACATATATTTAGGAAATAAATTTGACTTTACTGTTTAGACACTGTTTGGCACTGTTTAGACACTGTTTGACACTGTTTTGATGTAGGATAACTTTCCATTTGGGGAAAGGGGAACTTTTTTTTGGGACATCCAAAAAAGAAAAGCGGGAACATCTTTGCGGGACGGAGGGAGTATATACCATTATGACTCAAGTTCTATTGCTTAGCTCAAAACTTGCTATTTTACTTTGCGAATTGAAATGAAAATGCAAACCCTGAATTAGGTTCACTTTGAATTGGTATTGCTAGAAAAAAATGTTTATGTAGCTTAATACTCTGTATATAAATACGCTTCGATATCGATAAATCAAAAAAGAAAACGGCTAGTGGCTTAATGAGTATGAAATTCAACTAGTATAGTACATTTAATTGTGAAAATGTGAAAAAGACCTGTTTAAAATTATAAAATTAAAAGAAATTATTTGAGATTTTGAATTAATCAAAAAATATAATTTGAAAAAGAGAAGTACATTTGAAAAGTGAGTTTCAAAATTATCTAATCACAATCTTGAAACTATCGGACCTATAATTTTGAAATTGTGAAACCAATCTAAAATGATTCAATAATATTGTTGAAATAACCTTTCACAAAACAAATTAGTAATCCATTGTTGTGCTTATTATTTAATCATAGAATTTTTCTCTCTAACCGAGCTGACATTTTCTTCTTTGCCATCACTACAACCCTCATAATTGCATAAGCAGTCATGGTCATGATCATCGTCATAGTCAAATAAGCTTATAAAGAATTATTAAACGCCATTAAAAATGAAACTTGTACAAATGAAACACTTAATTAATATGAAGAATCTTCTCTACAAAGAATTCAGCCTCCTTCACAATATGACAGGAGTATTATAGATAAATAAAGGTCATGTTTGGAAAATGGCGGATCAGCCAATTTTTGGCTTCTTTGTCTGCAATTAATGATTTTGATTACCTAAACAGCTAAAATTAGTGTTTGGTAAATGAATGATTAAGTTAGCTTGTTGCACTCGATCAACTAAGGGTATGTTTGCAACAGCTTCTGCTTTTAAAAAAATGTTTTTTTAATGAAATGGGGAGAAGTGATTAAATAAAAGTTGATAGTGTTTGAGAAAAAAGTGATTTTGAAAAGTAAAAGTGGGTAGTGTTTGGTAAAATAAGTGTTTTTTGTGTAATAGAAAAAGTAAAAGCACTTTTGACGCGTAAGCCGAGAAAAATAACAGTTGTAGTGTTTGGGAAAATAAGTGTTTTTTTAAAGCCAAAAGCTGAGAAGTGCTTTTTTAAAAGCAGTTGCAAACCAACCCTAAATATCAAAACGCTGGTTTGTGCAGCGTTTATAATCGGCGTTTCCATCAATTCCGTTTCTGCCCTGGGTCTCGTTCATCTCCTTCACGCATGTTTGTCTGGTTTTTAACATTTATTACATATCTTTAACCATAACTCTATTTTCCTCTTCAAGCACAATTTGACCGGCAAAATGCCTTAGGTATGTATAATTAGTAATTTCAATTCACTTATGTTGTATTTTTCGTTATTATTTCGTTTCCAACTTTCCATCTCCCTTCGCTTACAACTGACTGCTGAATTCCCTGAACACAAAATACTCCAGATTCCCTAAAATTTACTCATTCTATTACTCGATCTGTTAGTTACCCAACGCCATCTTATAAAGTATTATTTTGAAGGAGGGCAGTTCACATCAGGAGCTCCTAAAGAGAAGCCCCGTGCGGACAAGCCCATCAGAAGGTCTTACTGTCGAATTTTTTGATGAAATTTTTTGAGCATTTTCCTCATCAAGTCTAGTTTGTCCATACCAAATTTCAGCTCAAAATTTGATCGGGAAAGCAGTGTCATAGATCCTCGAAAAATATGACACATTCTGCGCACATATCCTGGAAAAATATGGCACTCTATTCTGAAGTATATATACTACGTATATTTTTTAATATTACTCAATGTATGATGTTTACTTTACCCAAATTCTTTTTTAGTGGAGGTGAATGATTGATGGAGGACGCACCAAGCACTTTGTAGTTTGTAGGATAGGATCTAACAATTTATTACCGATGGGCGTAGCTCAACTGGTAGCGAGGGAGTGCCATAAAGGTTAGGTCCTGGGTTCGAACCCCGACAACTGCGATGAGAGGTTACTATGCTAAAAATACATAGGGCCTCTGCAAGTACCGGGAATGGAGCTCCACTCTCTATTATCAGATTGTGATTATAGTCCAATTTACATCCTCCCATCGTGCCGTCCGGTCGGTGTTGGGGGCCCTCAGGGATGGGGTGTCATCCTTTTAGCAATTTATTTTATTTGTGATTTAATTTTATTTCCCATTTTCTAAAATTTCTAAAATACGGATATACTTCGTATGTACTACCAAGTATGTAAGTATAGGTTCGATGCGCTCTAACAGCTATTCTTAAACAGCTAATTTACCAAACAATTACTGACAACAAGCTAACATAACCAGCCAACCAGAACAGCTAACACAACCAGCTGTTGTCAAACCGCTATCATAACCAGCTACCAGCTAATAGCCGATTGCCCCGGCAACTGCGATGAGAGGTTACTATGCTAAAAATACATAGGGCCTCTGCAAGTACCGGGAATGGAGCTCCACTCTCTATTTGTCAGATTGTGATTATAGTCCAATTTACATCCTCCCATCGTGCCGTCCGGTCGGTGTTGGGGGCCCTCAGGGATGGGGTGTCATCCTTTTAGCAATTTATTTTATTTGTGATTTAATTTTATTTCCCATTTTCTAAAATTTCTAAAATACGGATATACTTCGTATGTACTACCAAGTATGTAAGTATAGGTTCGATACGCTCTAACAGCTATTCTTAAACAGCTAATTTACCAAACAATTACTGACAACAAGCTAACATAACCAGCCAACCAGAACAGCTAACACAACCAGCTGTTGTCAAACCGCTATCATAACC